TCCCAAAAAAGAAAAAAAAAAAAAAAAAAAAAAAAGAAAAGAAAAGAAAAGAAATCAATTCTAAAGTTTATATGGAGAAGCAGAAGACCCAGAATAGCAAACACAATATTGAAGGAGAAGAACAAAGTTGGAAGACTAAAACTACCTGACTTCAAAACTTACTATAAAGCTACAATAATCAAGGCAGTGTGGTACCGGCAAAAGAAAAGACAAATAGACCAATGGAACAGTGTAGAGAGCCCAGAAATAGACCCACATAAATACAGTCTTATGATCTTAGACAAAGGAGCAAAGGCAGTACAACAGAGAAAAGATAGTCTTTTCAACAAATGGTGCTGGAAAAACTAGACTTTCACATGCAAAAAAAGTGAATCTAGACACAAGCCTTATACCCTTCACAAACATTAACTCAAAATGGATCACAGACCTAAATGTAAAATACAAAACTCTAAAGCTTCTAGAAGATAACAGGAGAAAATCTAGATTTGGCAATGACTTTTTAGATACATCAAAGGCACAATACATGAAAGAAAGAACTGATAGGATGGACTTAAAATTTCTGCTCTGTGAAAGGCATTGTCAAGAGAATGAAAAGACAAGCTACACACGTGGAGAAAATATACGCAAAAGATACATCTGATAAAGAACTGTTATCCAAAATATAAAAAGAACTCTTCAAACGCAACAATAAGAAAACAACCTGATTAAAAAATGGGCAAAAGACCTGAACAGACACCTCACCAAAAAAGACATAGACATGGTATATAGGCATATCAAAGATACTCCCACATTTTATGTCATCAGGAAATGTAAATTAAAACAACGATACCACTACACACCTATTAGAATGGCCAAAATCCACAACACTGACAACTCCAAATGCTGGCAAGAGTGTAGAGAAACAAAAACTCTCATTTGTTGCTGGAGAGAATGCAAAATGGTATAGCTACTTTGGTGGTTTCTTACAAAACTAAACATACTCTTACTATATGATCCAGCAATCATACTCCTTGGTATCTCCCCAAAGGAGTTGAAAACATGTTCACATAAAAACCTGCACTCAGATGCTTATAGCAGCTTTATTCATAATTGCCCAAACTTAGAATCAACCAAGATGTCCTTTAGTAAGTGAATGGATAAATAAACTGTGGTACATCCAGACAATGGAATATTATTCAGTACTAAAAAGAAATGAGCTATAAAGCCATGAAAAGACATGGAGGAAACTTAAATGCATATTACTAAGAGAAAGAAGCCTGAAAATGTTACCGTCTGAAAAGGTTACATACTGTATGATTCCAACTATATGACATTCTGGAAAAGACAAAATTACGGAAACAGTAAAAAGATCAGTGGTTGCCAGGTATTAGGGAAGAATGGAGATGAACAGATGGAGCATAGAGGATTTTTAGGGCAGTAAAACTACTCTGTATGATACTATTATGGCAGATACATGTTACTATAAATTTGTCCAAACCCATAGAATGTACAACACCAAGAATGAACCCTAATGTAAACTATGGACTTTGAATGATAATATGCCAGTGCAGGTTCATCAATTGTAACAAACGTACCATTCCAGTGGGGGATGTTGATAATGGGGGAAGATATGCATGTGTGAAGACAAGGGGTGCTACAGTCTAAATGTTTATGTCCCTGCCAAATTCTTATGTTGAAACCTAATCACCAATGTGACAGGTGGGACCTACAGGACGTGATTAGGTCATGGGAATGGAGCCCTCATGAATGGGATTAGTGCCCTTACAAGAGTCCCCAGAGAGCCGCCTTGCCCCTTCCACCTTGTGTGAGGGCACAGCCAGAAGGTACCATCTATGAACCAGAAAGCAGGCCCTCACCAGACACCTAATATGCTGGTACCTTGATCTTGGACTTCCCAGCCTCCAGATCTGTGAGAAATAAATCTCTGTTGTTTATAAACTACCCAGTTTATGGTATTTTGTTATAATAGCCCAGACTAAGACATGGTTCATGTATGTTAAATGTCAGTACCTATGGCTCAATTTTGCTGTAAACCTTAAACTGCTCTAAAAATTAAAATAACATATATGCGAAACTGCTTTCCAAAGTATAAAGCACTATATAAATGTACCAAAAAGGAATAATAACTCAGAAGCCTGTTTTTCTTTTACAGTATTAGAGGAAATGGATTTCATCTCATATACTCATTTTTGAAGACATTATATTTTTAATAATTGAGCATTATGGACTCAATATTTGTAAGCCTCCCAAATTCATATGTTTAAGCCCTAACCCATAGAATGGCTGTATTTGGAGATGCAGGCTTCTAAAAAAGTTAATTGGGTTAAATCAGGTCATAAGAGTGGAGCCCTGATCCGGTAGGATTATTGTTCTTATAAGAAGAGACACCAAAGAGTGTGTTCTCTGGCTCTCACTCTTGAGCACTTATGCACGCTCTTGCTGTCTTTCTCTTCTTATGTACACTCACCAAGGAAAGCCCATGGTGAGGGACATAGTGAGAAGGTGGCCATCTGCAAGTCAGGAAGAGAGCATTCTCCAGAAAATGAATCGACTGAAACCTTGATCTTAGACATATAGCCTCCATTATTTTTATATATAAAATGCCCTTAAAATATAATTTATTTAGTTTAACTATCAAAGCTAAAGAAATATTATATAGGCTTCCCTGTGAGCTTAACTAGATCTGACAATGAATCTATTCACTACCCTTTGGTAACTATAGACAGGTATGTAGGAATAAAGATGCAGATATGTGTAGGTGTGGGCATGCAAGCATCGCTCTGAACTCACATGAACATGTAACATATGCATACAAACATAGGATGAAAATAACAGGAACAAATAATAACAAAAATAATGAATCTATTAACAACAGTGAGATATTAGGACACTGGGAGTATATGAGAATTCAGTGCATAATGAATTAAAATTACGTCTGAAATCTAAAACAAGAATAAGGAGAAGGAAAAAAGCAAATAAAGAAAAAATTTGGTATCAATTTTCTTTTCAAAGATATGCTGCAATCTTCCATATGAAGAAAATTAGATTAAAAAAATTAAGAAGGAACTTAAGACATAAATTAAAAAATATTCCTTCTAAAAATATAGGGGAAAATACATTCCCACATGCCAAGAGAAAATTAAATTGGAGAAAAAAAGATAGGCAAGTAGTTAGGCTGATGGGAAAGGGGAATATGCCCCAGAGGTTACATGAAGTTCTCTGATGAAAAGGAATAGAACACCTCACATATAAAAATGGGCCAATAGAATCAGAGGATGTCCATATCTAAGCAGCATGGAATTACTGAACTTGGAAGCTTAAATACAAAGACTACATTAGGTCCCAGCCAGCTCCATGAATCAGGATTTGAAAAAAATCAAAGAGACAGAACTAGCATGTTTTATTAACCAATGAGAAAGTTGTTATTCAATGAATAGGGGAGCTGACTTTACATAGACAGAATTGAAGAACCTGAAATTGAAAGATCTCAAAGATTTAGGGGCAGATAGCAGGAGCAAAAAAATATAGCAGGTTGTCTTCAGCTCAACTTAGGTTGATAGAGCTAGGAAAGAGTGTAACTGTCTAATGTACAATAATGTTTTTTTGACTTTATGTAATTATGAGGGGACTTGCATATTTTTATATAAATTAATGCATGTGACTCATTTCAACAAAATATCCACTGCATGACATTTTTATTTTTTATTTTTTTTAAAAGATGACCGCTAAGGGGATCTTAACCCTTGACTTGGTGTTGTCAGCACCATGCTCTCCCAAGTGAGCCACGGGCCGACCCTCTGCATGACATTTTTATTTTTTATTTTTTTTAAAAGATGACCGCTAAGGGGATCTTAACCCTTGACTTGGTGTTGTCAGCACCATGCTCTCCCAAGTGAGCAACTGGCCATTCCTATATAGGGATCCGAACCCGTGGCCTTGGTGTTATCGGCACCACACTCTCCCAAGTGAGCCACGGGCCGACCCTCTGCATGACATTTTTAGGTTTATATAAAAATACAGCACAGTTTTGGAGAATACCAGTATTGGATCACGGGTTTAGAGTCAAGCCATATGCTGACTTATTATGTGTTTCTTATGACAACATATTGCAATTGTCCAAAGAATTATTCAAATGACAGTTGCTCATATGGGAAAATATTCAGTTTAGTCACAGTATATTATGATCCAAACCTGCAAAGAGTACTTCTCCACATCGGATAGGTTTCCGTGGTCTTGTCCTTGGTCCTTGCATTAGTGGTCGTTCTTGAGGCAATAGGAGGTAGTTTTTAGCTTCATCTACCAAGTCTCTGTAGAAAAAAATTCTACCTTTATTCCAAATGTCTAAATAACATTGCTAGTCGAGTCCCAATATAGTTTAGGAATAAATGGTTTGGCAAAGGGGAGCAAGCATAAATCAAAATCATGAATGCCAGCCAATATTAAAATTGGCACAAACATGAAAGCAATGATGCCAATTACACTATGAATTGTGAATTGATTGGTATTTCCATCATGACTTCATATCTCAGTGCAAATTTAGCCTAAAGCTCAACATCCTTAGAGCCAACACTAACACGAAAAACTAAAAATTAGAACTCGATTACCAGCCTGCATAGTTACTACTTTCTAATGAGTTTTATTAGATTCTGCAGGATACTGGCAAAATAGCACATCAGCCAGGGCCCTGGATATTTGCTGGATTAATTAAAGGGATAAAACTGGATCAAAAATCAGATTGTTAAAAAGAAATACTGTACTGTCATTTAATATTAATTTGTTCTCTGGTACCAAATGAATGGTTTGCTCTCAATAAGTCCACTGAGATGAACAAAATTTTTTTCCAATTAAGGTACCTTAAGAGAAGAACCTAAATGATTACACTTGTTAAATACAATATTCTAATACAAACTATTTGTATATATACTTATTTTACTTGAGTCCTTTAAGTGATTCAGTGCCTAATTGGTGCAAATTCAAAGTTACTCTGTTCTCCCTCAACTCTGAAAAGGTTTCCTAAATTACTCTATATTTTCATTTCTCTTGTTGTTTATGCCACAAAGAATAATTTATTCCTGCTGGACCAGTCCCAGGCATGACCCAATAATGAACTTTCCAATATAAGGCATTGCTAAGGCCCCTTCTGAATTTATCTATTCTAAAAACAAAATAGGGCCGGCCCCATGGCGCACTGGAGAGTGCGCTGCTTGGGAGCGCGGCAGCGCTCCTGCCGAGGGTTCGGATCCCATGTGGAGACCGGTTCCCGCTCACTGGCTGAGCGCGGTGCGGGCGCGACACTGAGGGTTGCGATCCCGTTACCGGTCAGTAAAAAAGACAAAAAGGAAAAAAAAAACAAACAAAAAAACCCTAAAAACAAAATAAACAAAACCCCCTAGAACCAAGTCAATGATCAAGAGCTTTTTCTAGTTTCCCGTACTTAAAGACAAAGACTTTGATCTCTTAATGGCCGGTTTTTAAGTCATTCAAGGGTTCCTAGAAAGAGTACTGTGGAGCTAATACTTAGCAAGCCAACACGAAATTAGTAGTAATAATAACAACACTTACGGCTATGTGCTAGTCCTTGTTTTGAATGCTTAATACCAGCATATACTTAACTCATTTAATCCTCACAAGAGCCCTATGGACTAGGCACTATTACTATCCTCACTTTATAGATGAATAAACTGCAGCACAAAGAGATTAATGTAATTTGCCTAAGATTGCACAACTAGTAAATGGTGAGGTTAGGATTTCAGGAAGGGTCTTCTTTTAAAGTGACTTCATATGGACCTCTGCTTTCTGCGTCAGAATCAGTACAATCTGATTTATATTTAATGGGGGAGGGGCACCTATGTATTGTTTCTTTAAATTTCAGCATGCATAATTCATACAGTTTCTTTTCTGCTACTGCAAATATTTAGAGGAATTAATTGCCATTTGTCTGTTTTTAAATTTAGAAGATAAACATCTAAAACCTTCTGGCATCTCCTGTTAAAGGAACAGGCTTCAGTTTATGGAAGAAATGCAAGTGAATCTACATGTCCTACCTCTGTTCTAGAGTCAGGGAGAATTCCAAATTTCTTTAATCACCAAGGGAGGCCCAAAGGTCAGTGTAGTTTAAGGACTTCTGAATACTGACTTGCTCTTTTACTTTTATAGTTGGAACACGCTGGGGAAGAAAATGGTTAAAAAATGCCAGATGGTTTCAGATTTAAACCCAAATCTTAAAATCTGTCAAACTAGGAAAGTAATTTATCAGATTTTGTATATATTACAGAGACAGCCTAGTAAAATAGGTTTTTTTTTTTCCCTTTGTAAAAGCATTTAGTGTTTCTTTTGTCAAAAGAAACTGTTTCATCTACCTCTAGTGGAAATCTTTCCACAGCTACTTTAGGAGGCGGTAGATCTTTAACTCTGTCCACAATCTTAGAAAGCAAGGCTGGTCCTAATCCCCAACTAAACATATGGGATGGAATGAAAAAGTGCTCACTGACACAGAGTTAACAGCACTACTCATTCAATTTATCTCAAGAAAAAAAATACTAGCAGAGAATTGCTTCTTCAAATTCAAGCTTGCATTAAAATCTTAGAAATCTACCTCTTTATTGCCACTTCTACACCAAAAAGCACTACACATAAAAAAACTAATGAAATGGAATACTAGAAATTCAGTTCTCTCTTCTTCCTTCTCCTCCTCTTGACCTTAGCCCAGAAGAAAAACCTGTTAAATACTACCCTGGTTTCAGCACTAAGGAATACAATATTTAGGAAGCAATACAAAAAAGGAAATTAGGAGAAAATAGGAATGCTTAGGTGTTGATTTTTCCCATCCAGGGCCACTCATACCTGCATTCTTCATCACTTTTGATGAGGGGATCAGAGCCTACTGTGCCCACCAGGAACTTGGGACTAAGCAAAGGCAAACGAACGTGCTGCAGCACCTATGAGATAACAAACACCAGTAAAGGCATGAGCTCCCATCTGCAAAATATTTAAGAGAATACATGGTGCCTGCTCCTGCATTGTATTTCCACTTATTTTGGGATCTAATTGAACATGAAAAATAAGGAAAAAGGGGGGAAGGCATAAATACTAAAACTAAGTTAAATTTATTCTAACCACCAATTCAATAATGTAGAATAATCAGAAAATTGAAAGCACACAAATATCACTTTAGAATGCTGCTTTAAGCTTTCAGCAATTTTATAAATTCTTCTATACTGGACTCAAATTAATTAACAATCCAGAAGACTATCCTTAAAATTGCTAAAGACTATAGTCAGAATAGCAAAAATGGATCTTAAACATTTCACTCAGTGACCACTTCTGCTCCAATCCATCCCCTTATTCTTTAAAGTGTGGTAGGATTTCCAAATTATAGGGAAAGAAAGCATGTGGTTATATTTCCAAGCTACAGAGAAAGAAGCATCCTTGCTTTTGTTTATTTTACATAATTTAGATTTTGAAACGTACCATAGATGAACACAGAATTGATCCAAAATAGAGGGTAAGCAAAGAAGCAAAAAATTCAAAACGATAAGCAAAATGCTTCTAAAACTTATTTCCTTGATTATTCGGAAACAGATGGACTTCCTCATAATATAAGGGAGTCTAATATAAGGGTGAGTGATAATTGTTTCATTTTTGCAAGATGAATTCCTATTATTTCATCTAGTACAAAGCAGTTTCTTAGAGATGCATTTCTATCATCACCTGGGGTAACTGAGGACGTCTTTCTTGAATACTGTATTTGACCCAGGCCATCACTGCATTGAACACTTGTTCTTCACTGCGAACATTCAGCTCATCACTAGATATTATATCAATGAGTTGATTGGCCGGAAGCAACATGAACTCTTCACTCTCCATCACCTGTTTAAAGTGAGGTAAGAATAAAAGAAAAAAACCCTGTGATCACATTTAATTTATTGTCTCAATATTTATCTGGAGGGTTATGGGGCAAAGATCTATTCTACAATGGATCTGAAGTTTAAAACAATACCAGAGGAAAAGAAAAGATGAAAGAGAAAACAAAAAAAGTACAGAGGACACAATTAAAATTTAGTAAAAATAATCATTTGTGCTTCAAGGAACTTAAGGAAAGTGACTATTTTTTCTTAAAAATAAAAGATCAAGGGCCGGCCCGGTGGCGCACCGCTATAGTGCGCTGCTTGGGAGGCGCGGTGGCGCTCCCGCCGAGGGTTCGGATCCCACATACAGACCGGTTCCCGCTCACTGGCTGAGCGAGGCACGGGCGCAACACCGAGGGCTGCGATCCCGTTGCTGGTCCCGGTCCGGTACGGGGGCGACACTGAGGGTTGCGATCCGTTGCCGGACACGGAAAAAGACAAAAATAAATAAAAAAATAAATAAAAAAAATAAAAGATCAAAATAAAACTCCAGAAATATAAAAGGCATATAAAAAGTCAGAAAAAGCTTTCAGAGGAAGATTAGTTGCTGAAAGGGCAGTATCTAAGGCAGAAATGCCAAGGAGTCAGTTTAAAAAAAAAATAAGGGTGTCGGTAATTCTGCAAGCAAGAATGACTATAATGAGGAGAAAATTAGACCAATGAAAACCTCTGAGGACCAAACCACTCTGATACTGTGTATATGTCAGTGAAAAACTACAAACACACCAATAATTTATATTTACCCGAGGCTAGGAAACTGTCAGAATGGAGATGAAATGGCAACAAGGATTATTACCTTGTTGTGCAGGCCAGCCACAAATTTCAGAACTTTCTCTACTGTTAAGGATATTCTTCAGATATTTGTGAATACCTTAGATCTAAAACACAAGTTATGGTCAAAGCAGAACATTTAAATAAAAACTTTATTTTAAATGTACAGTTCAGTGTTTTGATAAATAATATACTCATGCAACTATGATGACAATCAAGATATAGAACATTACCATCACCTCCAAAGGTTCTAAAGCAGAGAATTCTTAATGTGGGGTCCAATGCCTTTGGCACATAATTTTGGACATCCTCAGTGATGGCAAATTTTTATTTGTGAAGAGTGGAGTTGATATTTAAAAACAGTGGAAAGAAATTAAGAGTCAAGTCTGTTAAAGAAGGCATGTGAAGAAGTTAGATTACATTATTTTGAATGAGATACTAAATGTGACTGTAAAATAATGACTCTCAACTTCAGTGAGGTACAAATCTCACTTAGTCATGGTGTATTTCCCTTTTTGTACTTTGTTGAAATTAACTTACTAAAATTTTGTTACGAATTTTTGCATCTAAGTTCATGAGAGATACTGATCTGCAGTTTTCTTCTAGTGTCTGTGGTTTTCTGTATCAGGGTAATTTTGGCCCTATGAAATAAATTAGCGATTTTTTCCTCCATTTTCTGAAAGACTTTGCATAGTAATACTTTTAGTATTACTTCTTCCTTAAATGTTTGAGAAAATTCACCATCTGGGACTGGTATTTTCTTTGTGGGAAGGTTTTTAAAGTATGAATTCACTTTTTTTTCATGGAAATAGGGTTATTCTGGTTTTTTGTTTCTTCTTGAGTCAGTTTTGTATTTTTCAAAGAATTTGTCCATTTTATCTCAGTTGTTGAATTTATTGGCAAAAGGTTGTTCATAATGTTCTCTTATAATCTTTTTAATGTATGAAGGGTTTGTAGTGATATCTTCTCTTTCATAAAAGACACATACTGATATGTCTTCTATCCTTTATTTCTCGAACAGTATAGCTGAAGCTCATCGATTTTCTCGAAAGAGACATTCATTTTTGCTTTAACCTTTATTCTTTTCTTCCTTCTGCTTACTTTGGGTTTAATTTGTTCTTCTTTTTCTAGTTTACAAAAGTAACTACTGGAACAAAAATACAAGCTTTCCTATATACCAAAAGAAATTAAAGTAAAAAGCAAAGATACCACATAGAGAAAAAAGATACAGTAAACATAACTAAATTAGATACTACTTATAAAAATGTAATACAACAGAGTTGAGAACAAACATATCACTCATAGCAATAAGTGCAAGTGGGCTTAAATTAACTACTAAAAGAAAAAGATTTTCAAATTGGCTCATAATGCAAAACCTAATTCTATGCTAATTCAAGAAAAATACTTAAAACATCATAATCCAAAAGGGCTAAAAGTAAAGGGATGGACAAAGATACATTTCGCAAATGGAAACAATAAGAAAACGGGTTGAAATCCAGATATTAGACAAAGTGGAATTCAGACAACAAAAGAATTAAATCTGACAAAGGAGAACACTTTATAAAGCTCAAAGTCACAACTTGCCAAGAAAATTCTAAGGAATCAATGGTAAAAGTAATTCAAAGAATAAAAAAATTCAATAAGGTAGCTTTCTTATACATTAATGAAAACCAGTTAGATGATATAAAGGAGGAGAAAAACCTATTTACAATAGCAACAACAACAACAAAATACTTAGAAATAAACTTAAAAAGAAATGTATAATACCTAAATGAAGAAAACTATAAAACATTCCTGAGAGATACAAACAAAAATAAAATTGAAGAAATGAAATCTTGTTCTTGGATAGCACAACTCAACATCATAAAAATGACTGTTCTTAATTTAACTTATAAGTTAATATGATCTCAATAAATATGCCAATAAGTTTTTTTTCTTGGAGCTGGATAAGGTCATACTAAAGCTTATCTGGGGTTAGCTAGTTAGCTCACTTAGTTAGAGTGCAGTGCTGATAATGCCAAGGTCAAAGGTTTGGATCTCCATAATGGCCAGCTGCCCATCCCCCACTCCCGCAAAAAATCATCTGGAAAAATAAGCATGCAAGAAAGCTAGGAAAACACTGAAAAAGAAACAAAGAGTTATATGGGGTACAGGGGTTACTATCCCTACCACATATTAAAATACATTACAAAGCCTTAATAATTAGACTATTACAGAAAACAGTGTCACATTGGTGCACAGCCTAGAACAGAAGGTGCAAAACCAGATACAGATGGAAATTTAGTATATAATCCTATATCAAATCATTGGAGCAAAGAAAGACTTTAAATAAATGGTATTGGAACTAGATGGTCTATATTTCATACCATACACAAAGATAAATTCAGAAAGACCATACACTTGCTAGAAAAAAAAGTGAATTTCTCTGTAACCTGGGTTTAGGGGAGGCCTTCCAAACTCTGCCTCAAAATTGGATGCAATAAAAGAAAAGATTGATACATTTGACAACATTGAAAAAAACCAAAAAACATTCGCATGATCAAAAATACAATAAGCAAAGTTGGAAAACAAATGCAAACTGGAAAAAAATATTTGTAACATGTATCACAGATAAAAAGACTACTGTTAATATATACAGAACTTTCGAAAATTGAGGGGAATAAAAGAGCAAAACTCTAATAGAAAAATGGACAAAAGATACAAAAACACAATTCGCAAGAATTATAAGGACGGCTCTTAAATATATGAAAAATGTTCAATTTATTTTAATGCAAATTAAAACTACACAGATTCTATTCTCATCTATTAGATTACCAAAAATTCAAAAGGTTGACAATACATTCTGTTGGTAAGGCTGAGGGGATATAGTGATCCTCATATATTGCTGGTTGGAATGGTTTAATCCCTATGGAGAAGAATTTGGTGACTTAGAATCATACATACAGAAAACCTGTTTGGAGCATATGATGGCACTTCAAAAAGTTTGTGGAAAAGGGAATTAAAAGATAATAAACGAATCTTTTCATGAACTTTTTCATTCCCCTTTTCCACAAACTTTTTGAAGTATTCTCACATGCTCCAAATATGTTTTCTGACTTTGACATCGATTTTTTAGTTTATGTTGCATTTTCATTATTATAAAGAAAAAATATTTCAACTTTTATGTAACTAAATTTATCAATCTCTTTCTTCATAGTTTCTAGGTTGTATACTACTTAGATCTTAACCCCCAGCCAATCAATGCTATCTTCTAGAACTTTTAAAATTTTCTTTTTATTTTTTTATTTTTATTTTTATTTTGTCAATATACACTGTATATGATTATTATGGCCCATCA